ATCCAGCCATCCCTCCCTCCCAGGTTGGGCCTCCCCCCACCTACACACACACACAGTGGCCAGGAGTGACTCCGGAAACAGCTGCCTGTAGGCAAATTCCAGTTCTGCAACTTCAGGCTCTGCACCCCTCAGCGACTGGCTTCTTAGTTCTGAGCCTCAGTTTTCCATCTATACAAAGGGGTTAACACCTGTTCACTACACCCACCCAGGCCAGCCTGCCCAACATCTGCCAGGTGTGAGCGTGACCTCAGATCCTAATCGCCAGGGGGATTCCCAGCATCAGCCCAAACTTAAAAATACAACTACTCCAGGCGCTAAGTGCAGAGCTGGCCAGCTGTGTCTCTTCTTGATGAGGAAGAAAACAAAAAAGGCAAGAAATGCACACGGCCGACCACGCAGACACAGCCCTGTGATCACTCGGCCTCAGCCCCACTCGGTCTCACACACATGCACACCCACACAACCGCACCCCCTTGAAGACCGCCAGCCATCCACTCTGAACACACACAGCCAACCGCACACATCCGCAATCGCAGCAGACTCAGTCACACCTACAGTCACAAAACAGCACATCACTCCGGCTCACCCACAGTTCTCTGTGCACACCCACAAGCAGCCGTACCCGCTCCCCACAGGCGCAGCCTCGCACACTCACAACTCCTCACCCACAGTCGCACACCGCTCCACGCCTCCCAGCCGGCAGACCCCAGCAACTCTTGCGAAGCCCACCAGGCACTTCGTCATCGGTTCAGAACACAACACTGGAAGCCTAGCAAGTTGCCTCGGTGGCGGGGGGTGGGGTGGGTGCCTTGCCCACAGGAAGGGTGCTCTGTTCTGCTTCATTGCCTGCAAAGGTGCCCTTTCTTGAGCCCACAGCAGTTTCTGTGGCTTAGTGGCAGCCTGACTCTTAGTGGACCTCCCCACCCCCCTGCTCCTTTTTCTTGTCCTGGTCCTCGGACCTCACAGGAACTCTAGGTGGCTGCAGGGTTCTCCAAGGCAAGATGGCCTGTGCCAGTTCCCTTAGGGATCCCCAGCAATAGTTCCTGCTGGGCCTTGCAGAGGCCCTGGGTGGATGGGGCGCTGGGCCAGGCTGAGGTCCAGATGGGCTGGGGCCCAGCCACACCTGGCACTGTGGAAGGGATCCCAGCCCTGGTAATAAGCCATGCAGAGGAAACAGGTAAAGAGATCTATACAGCAGCCCCACACTCCAAATGCCACCCTGCAGGAGACCCCTGGCCCTTCAGAGCTGATCTAACCCCAACAAGGTAACAGTGGGGAAGCCGAGGAAGGCCTGGACAGCTGCAGGGCCATATCTGAATTCACACAGCCAGCTGGTGGCGGGAGGCAGCCTTCCTGCCCCTGTTGTTTTCTGATCTTTGTTCAAAGAAAAGAGCTACTGCTCAGCTAGGCTTCTGTCCTCAGTGTGGATTTGTCTATCTGTGGGACTCAGAGAAAGCACAGACCCCGAGGGCAACTCTGGAGCCTCTAAGTACTGGACTTTTTCTCTGCTGGTCTGGAAAGTGGGAGAGAAGGGAGGGGAGGCAGGTGCAGATGCTGCCTCCTCCCAGAGCCTTCCCTCGGTACCCAGTCATCAGATTCCTCTGAGCCGCACTAAGAACTCTGGGCATCTTTGAGGACATCACAGCAGGTGAGCAGGGGGTGGGGGAGGTAGGGACATTGAAGAGCTTGGGGAAAGCAGTCTTGGTTTCTTGGTTTCTGGCTGGCCCTGTCTGTCTCACTGCCCTAAGTGAGGCTGGGAATGAGCCTAAGAGGCTATCAGCCTGGAAGCTAGGAGGAGGATGGGAAAGTGGAGGGAAGAAGGGAGATGGCCCTTCAAGTCCAGCAAGGGGGGATTTCAGCCAGGAGCACTGAGCCTGGGGACAGGGGAGGCTGCTTCAGAGAGAGGCCAGGACCCTAGAGACCTAAGGGGAGAGGGTGAAAGAAAGGTTGAGACTGAGTAGCTAAAAGACAAGGGCAGCCATGGTCACAGCAGTGCAGGAGGCTGCATGGCCCTGATGATAGGAGAATACCAGCCCAGGGCAGGGAACAAGTACCTGTCCTCCCTGGACCTCTCCACCGCTGCAAATGCCCCAGGGTAGGGACCAGACCCCACATGGGGCAACAGAGTCTTTCAGGGGTCATGTCTACCAGCCCACTGGCCTTGTGACCTTGGAGTGCTAGGCCCTGTCTGGGACTATCGCAAGACCCGTGGGACCATCCTGGGAAGCTCAGCTCACAAGGGCCACACAGTACCCAGTGTCCACACAGCAGAGGTATGACTTAGGGACCCTGAAGCTGGGCCCTGACTCACTCTGCACAAGGTCCAGGCCAGATCTGTCCTCTCCTTTTCTTCTTTACCCATATGAATGTTTATCCTGTCTCCTGGCCTACAGATCAGGAAATCCATTCTGCAGAACCAAAGCCTGGCACACCAGTAGCTGTCTGGGTTGGGTCAAGATTGGAAATGACATGAGCAGGCAGGCTGCCTCCTGCCACCCGCTGGCTGTGCAAATTCAGAGATGCCCTCCAAGTTATCCCAGCCCGTTTCCCCATAGTTCCTTGATGGGATGAGAGAATCCCTGAAGTCCCACACGTCCTTATGTCCTAAGGTTTTCTGAGAAGACTACACATGATCCAAACCGCAGGGCAGATAACTGTGGCCCAGGGGCCTCAGATGAAGGAAGGCAAGGCCATGGGGCTCCAGTCCTCCCAGGGAAGCAGGTGGGCCAGGCTGGCACCTGGGCTCAAATGCTCAGGCCTCTCCTGCTGTGTGGCCTCAGGCAGGCCCTGAACTCTGAGCCTCAGATTGCAAACTCCGAAGATGAAACCACTTCTTGCAAAAATGCAACCAAAGGCCGGCATGGTAATAGGACTCAGGGTGTCTCATGTCATACCTGGAATTGCAGCTAGACTATCGTTACCAACACCACCACCTCCTACCACCACCATGCTACCAGTTCAAATCCTGCCAGGAAAAGATGACAGAGTATGCACAGCCTTGCCTGTTTACCCTTCTACCTCAAGGGAGGGCTACCCCTTCTGGGTATGAGCGCCTGCATTAGTACATGGAGGTGCAGAGAGAAGTCAGAGGGGCTTCAGTGTTCAGAGTCTAACATCTCCTTCCAGGGAGGGGACCTAACCAGCACTTTCAAACGGTAATAGATGTGGCCTTGATGGAACCGAATTAGTTGTGGGACTAGAAGAGTAAACACGTGTAATTCATGATTTTGCTAATCGTCCTTCATCTTGATCTGCCATTTTTCCTAGCATTTCCCACTGCCGTACCCCTCACAGCAAGGACCCCAAAGTGTGGGAGCAAGTCAGTCAGGTGGCTGACCTCCCAGCTGGACACCTGGGCCGGCCCTCCTCCCAGCATCCCATCTCCAACCCAGGCCCCACCAACCCAGACATGACACAAGGCAGGAAGCCTGTGGCACTCAATCTTTTATTTTCTTAAACTGTACACAAACGTAAAACACTTTAACAGCAAGTCTATGGGGAAATTGTTTGGTTTTAAATTATTATGAAACAGAATCTAAGGAGAGCTTTATTAAATAAACATAAAGATGGGATTTAAGGATACACACCTGCGATCTACCATAATCATTTTTACTCTACCTTCCGGGTGTGTAAGGATAGAAAAGACACATCAAACTGAATAAACAAAATCCATTTATACCCTGAAACGCTGGCAGGCCATTCAAGGGATTGCTCAGAACATCGACCTCATAGAAGACGGCCTCACCATCTAATAAAAATTAAAACTGATCTGTTGGCCTCTTTGGTTCCAAAATTATGTATAATACATTTAACTGTATTCATTTTTTTGCTGCTATAAAAATAACTTCTTTTTTCAAATGGCAGTTTCTGACTAATCATGCAACTAAATCAGTGCAAACATTAAAAGCAATCATTCGCTTAAAAAAGAAGCAAAGGATTTCATTTCAAGTATAAAAAATATAAAAAGAGTCGTACAAGTCCAGTCTCATCTAGTGTGGGTCAACCCTTTAAATTGCATAGTTCTCGTGGCACTTGGACATCTAGAGGGGAGCGAGCTCTGGGCTCTGCCAAGAGCCACTTCTGGACACACGTAGATCGGCAAGTGCTATACCATGTGCGTTCAGGCGGGTCTACAAGTGCTACGCGGGGCGGGCAGGCGCGGGCGAGTGGGCAGGGCCACGTCCACAGCCAGCCCTGGTAGCTGGGGCCCACGTGGGCACCTTCTGCAAAGCAGCTGAGAGCCTTCCCCGTCTCTCCAAGACCAGCTACACTGTGCCTGCCCCCACCCCCTGCTGAGGGCCACCCTCCTCCCATCCCCCCAACATTTCCAGAATGCCGCCACCCTACTTCCCCCGTCCTCTGGGCTCATCCCCTTGCCCAGGGGTCATTCCCCAGCCCTCCCTAACCAGTTCTAAAGGAATATCCCAGTGAAGGGCACAGACTGCAACTATTTTACTTCCCATTTAGAACAATCCGGACTTTAACTTAAAAGGTCACGCCCGGTAGAAAAGTCCTTTTTCACTACACAACTGGCACAAATGACCTATCCAACTGCTGGAGATCTGTTAAAGCGTCAAATGAAGATCCCGCCCCCTCCCCACCCCAAACACACACACACACAAAGTCATGTCAGGGACCCCAGTGACAGTCATGATCATTGTCCCTGCTCTATGCTCTCTGACAGGCTATGTCCTTTCTGGGCCT